ATATAGCTAATTACAAGCAAAAGATTATTGTGAGCATTTGTCGACATCTGAGCTGAAACGTTTTACCCATCAATGTTGATAATACTGCACTGCAAATGCTCATTTCAGATCGCGAAAGCTTTTCTTAATCGCTTCTTGAAAATGGGTGCACCAGGAGGTCAAAAAGGACAAGCGGCAATCATCCAAAATGCTATAGAATCACTTGGATCGCCAAATGCCGATGTGTAATTTTTCCAAAGTTGACATTTTTATTATAATTATAGATGACCGTGTTTGGGTTAAAATTTAAGTTAAAACAACTATAATCAAAAGTCCAAAGGTTACTGTTTGAGTAAGAAGCGAAACATATCACTATGCTTGACATTGATGATATGAACTACAACGAGGCTCATCAATGTTGTAGTATCTCAGTGTCGGTCATCTTCACAAATTGTAGGATTATTAAAGAATGAGAAAAAGATAAGTATAACTGTGACTTAATTGTTTCTTCATACATTCAGTAATTACCAAACGCAAAAATAAGCGAAGTGCGAAATATCCAGGGAAGTGAGAAGTTGCTGTAATTTCCATAATAAGTCACAGAAAAAAGTTCAGAATTTGATTCGCAACATTCTTTCATATATAGACACTGCCTTTGGCATAATTTGTGCTGCAAAAAGGTTTGCTGTCTTTGATCTCTGCCAACCAGAAGATGGAAATTATAGCGAGACCCTATGCATTGGCTTCAATGCAAGGTACTCCGTAAAGATGCTAAGCTCACATGAATTCTCAAGGTTGGGAAGAGGTAAAAAGAGGTCTTTTGCCACAACTTGACCTAATAATGACGTTCTAAAAGGCCAATTATGGAAAATTGAAAGTCATTAGATTCACTTATATAATATGGACTTATTGACTACTTTTAACACATTAAATTTAAAGATGAAATCAGCTTATTCCCGGATCTTACTGTCAGGTTACAATAATCCGAGGGGGTTGGAAATCTACATATCGTAAACTGCAAAGAGACGTAAGCTGATCAGATAATGTTTGAATTCAACAAGCCAAATTGTACATTGTATTGTAAATTGCACTCGTACCCTACGATAAAATACTATTGTGAAGCATTAATATGATATTCG